CAACACCACTACCACCAACACCACCACCACCCACCACCACGACCAGCCGCCGCCCACCACCACCCACCACACTACCACCACACCCTTCAACACCACCACCACTCACACCAACACCACCACCACCCACCACCACTACCACCGCCGCCACCACCACGACAAACCCGTCACTGCTCCTGTTTTCTTGTTGCTGTCGCGATAACCAGGCGAAGGGCGGACAGCGTTCCCAGCACGGCTACCACCGTGCCGCCTGCAGCCCACATGCCTTGCCTCACCTGGTGAGTGGGAGAGAAGGTGGAGGTGGAACAGGGGGAGAGAGGATAGTGAGGAGGAGAGGGAGCACGAGAAGGCAGTCTGTCTCATATCTGTCTCCTACATCTCTGTCTCTGTCCATTTCTATCTATCTTCATCTCTGTCTCTGTATGACTCTATCTCTGTCTCCTCAATCTCTGTGTATGTCTCCATCTCTGTCTGTCCTCTCGTCCATCTCTGTCCGTCTCTGTCCGTCCTCACCTGGTCCGAGCGCGCCTCCCCGAAGCGCAGCGCCGTCACGAAGTGTTCGCAGTTGCATCTCAGCACGTCGTAGTCCAGCATCTCGCCCACGAGCGCCCGCGCCTTTCGCAGGATCTCATCGATGGGCAGCGGCCGCCGGCGCCCCTTGTTGTTGACCTGGAACGTGCTCTCGCCCACCACCTCCTTCAGCAGCTCCAGCTTCACCTTCGCCTTGCTCGTGGCCACCGACATGATGCTGTGGGCTCCGTCGATGCCGTCTTCGCCTGACGCGTTGAGGGGGTGGGGAGGGGGGGGATGGGGGGGCACAGTGGAGACTCCGTCTCAGATTCACGGTGAAACGCGAAAAGACAGTTTCGATTTAAAGCTTCTTTCGTGACTGCAGGGATTCGTCTTCTTGGTTCTTTCGGTAAAGTCACGTGGAATGGAAACAATGAAAAGAATAAAATAAAACATAATAAAATAAAATAAAAATAAAAATATTATGCTTTATTTTATTATTATTTTTTGTTTACATTCTACGTGACTTTACCGAAAGAACCACGGCGGCTAGGAGATGTTGACTCCCTCGCCTGGTGTGCAGGAGGTCGTGGGTCTATCCCGACCCTGACAATGCCTGCTGCTGCTGTATATTTGGAGTCTGCGTCTCTCTCTCATCATCACGGTGGCTAGGAGATGTTGACTACCTCGCCTGGCGTGCAGGAGGTCGTGGGTTCGATCCCGACCCTGACGATGCCTGCTCTGCCCTTGCCCCAGCAGTCCTCTTACAGGCTACACGGGGGACCTTAATCATTGCAGGGGCACAACTCACTGGGTGGCGCGAGGTGAATGACGTATCCGTCGCCGACGTACAGAGCCCAGTGCTGGTAGCAGGTTCTGTTGATCTCGACGAGATCTCCTGGCTCCAGCATCCTGCATCCAAGAGAGAAGATTCCCACCGCTCGACATTTGGCGACACGTGGAGGAGATGGGGGAAGTGGTGGTGGTGGAGGTGGTGGAGGTGGTGGTAGTGGTGGAGGTGGTGGAGGTGGTGGTGGCGGTGGTGGAGGTAGTAGAGTTGGTTGTGGTAGCGGTGGAGGAGGTGACGGTGGCGGTGATGGAGGTGGCGGTGGTGGCGGTGGTGGAGATGGTGGAGGTGATGGAGGTGGTGGTAGTGGTGGTGGAGGTGGTGGATGTGGTGGTGGAGGTGGTGTAGGTGGTGGTGGCGGTGGTGGTGGAGGTGGTGGTGGCGATGGTGGAGGTAGTGGAAGTGGTTGTGGTGGAGGTGGTGGAGGTGATGGTGGTGGAGGTGGTGTAGGTGGTGGTGGTGGAGGTGGTGGAGGTGGTGGTGGTGGAGGTGGTGGAGGTGGTGGAGGTGGTGGTGGTGGTTGAGGTGGTGGAGTTGGAGGCGGTGGCGGTGGTGGAGGTGGTGGAGGTGGTGGAGGTGTTGGAGGTGGTGGTGGTGGCGGTGGAGGTGGTGGAGGTGGTGGTGGCGGTGGTGGCGGTGGTGGTGGTGGTGGTGGTGGAGGTGGTGGCGGTGGCGGTGGTGGCGGTGGTGGTGGAGGTGGTGGAGGTGGTGGCGGTGGTGGAGGTGGTGGTGGCGGTGGTGGCGGTGGAGGCGGTGGAGGCGGTGGAGGTGTTGGAGGTGGTGGTGGTGGTGTAGGTGGTGGTGGTGTTTAGTGGTGGAGGTGGTGGCGGTGGTTGGTGGCAGTTGAGGTGGTGGAGGTGGCGGTGGAGGTGGTGGTGGCGGTGGTGGAGATGGTGGTAGTGGTGGAGGTGTTGGTGGTGGAGGTGGTGGAGTTGGAGGTGGTGGAGGTGGAGGTGGTGGAGGTGGTGGTGGTGGAGGAGCAGGAGGATCGAAGAGAAACCCAGAGGCTCGTATGCCACCGTGGTGCCATTCACCCACTCAGCCACCCACTCGCCCACTCGATCATCCACTCGCCCACCCACTCAACCGCCAGCCCTACCCGCTCGACCATCTAAACATAACTCATTCAAACACCCACTCACCTACCCACACACACACTCACTCACCCATCCACCCAATCACCCTTCCACCCACTCACCTACCCATACACTCACTCACCCATCCAATCAACCACCAATTTATCCACCCACTCACCTACCCACCCATTCACTCACCCATGCAATTCACCCACTCAATCACCCATCACCCACCCACTCACCTACCCACACACTCACTCACACATCCACCCAATCACCATTCCACCCACTCACCTACCCATGAACTCACTCACCCATCCAATAAACCACCAATTTACCCACTCACTCACCTACCCACACATTCACATCACCCACCAATTCATCCACTTACCCTTCCACCCCTTACATACCCACTCACTCACCCATCCAATCACCCACTAATTCACCCACTCACCCATCTACCCAGTCACCCTCGCACCCACTCACCTACCCACACACTCACCTACCCCCCCCCACTCACCCACAGACACAAACAAAGATCCCCCGTGTAGCCTCTAACAGACTGCAGGGGCAAGTGCTGTTAGCTAGCACCTCACACACAGAGACACAGACAAAGATCCCCCGTGTAGCCTCTAACAGACTACAGGGGCGAGTGCTGTTAGTAGCGAGTATCAGCAGCAACACACAGAGGGGGTGGGTGGCCAGCACCACGCCCGACCGCCTTTGTCTCCCCAGTGGCGATGTTTTCCCACACCCAAAAAAGAGAATGAATTGAGGCTGAGTCGACCTAGGGGAGGCCCAGGACCGGCGTAGCGCTGACCACCGCTCACCACACTACCACTACCAAAACCCATTCACCACCACCACCTCCATCACCTTCACCACCATCAGCAGACAAAGATCCCCCGCGTAGCCTCTGACAGGCTGCAGGGACAAGTGCTGTTAGCTAGCACCTCACACACAGACACAGACAAAGATCCCCCGTGTAGCCTCTAACAGACTGCAGGGGCAAGTGCTGTTAGTAGCCAGTAGCAGTAGCAACCTGTGAGGGCTACCAGCCCTGTGGCACAAACACAGGGGGTGGGTGGCCAGCACCACCCCCGCCCGGCCGCCTTTGTCTCTCCCCCAGTGCTGGTGATGTTCACGGCACACGGCCGCACCAGGCTACACATTTGAGGCCGAGTCGACCTAGGGGATTCCCACGCGCGCACATATGTTCACTACCTCGCCAATTACACTGCGTCCCCAATTGTTACCAGGCGAGATACGTAGAGATACATAGAGACACATAGAGACGAGTAGAGATACATAGAGACACATAGAGATACATAGAGATACATACAGACACAGAGACCAGTAGAGATACATACAGACACATGGATACATAGAGATACATAGAGATACATACAGACACATGGAGACCCATATAGATACGTAGAGACGAGTAGAGATACATAGAGACACATTGAGATACATAGAGATACATACAGACACAGAGACCAGTAGAGATACATACAGACACATAGAGACGAGTAGAGATACATAGAGATACATTGAGATACATTGAGATACATAGAGATACATACAGACACATGGAGACCAGTAGAGATACATAGAGATACATGGAGACACATGGAGATCAGTAGAGATACATAGAGACACATTGAGATACATAGAGATACATTGAGATACATAGAGATACATAGAGACACATTGAGATACATACAGACACAGAGACCAGTAGAGATACATACAGACACACAGAGACGAGTAGAGATACATAGAGATACGTAGAGATACATAGAGATACATAGAGACACATAGAGACACATGGAGACACATAGAGACACATAGAGACGAGTAGAGATACATAGAGATACATAGAGATACATAGAGATACATAGAGACACATAGAGACACATGGAGACACATAGAGACACACAGAGACGAGTAGAGATACATAGAGATACATAGAGATACATAGAGATACATAGAGACACATAGAGACACATAGAGACACATAGAGACACATGGAGACACATAGAGACACACAGAGACGAGTAGAGATACATAGAGATACATAGAGATACATAGAGATACATAGAGATACATAGAGACACATGGAGACACATAGAGACACACAGAGATAGAGATACATAGAGATACATAGAGATACATAGAGATACATAGAGACACATAGAGACACATGGAGACACATAGAGACACATAGAGACGAGTAGAGATACATACAGACACATTGAGATACATAGAGATACATACAGACACAGAGACCAGTAGAGATACATACAGACACATAGAGACCCATAGAGATACATAGAGACACACAGAGACCAGTAGAGATACATAGAGATACATAGAGATACATAGAGACACATTGATATACATAGAGATACATAGAGATACATAGAGACACATTGATATACATAGAGATACATAGAGATACATAGAGACCAGTAGAGATACATAGAGATACATACAGACACATAGAGATACATACAGACACAGAGACCAGTAGAGATATATACAGACACATAGAGACCCATAGAGATATATACAGACACAGAGACCAGTAGAGATACATACAGACACATAGAGATACATAGAGATACATGGAGACCAGTAGAGATACATAGAGACACATGGAGACCCATAGAGATCCATAGAGATACATACAGACACATGGAGACCAGTAGAGATACATAGAGATACATACAGACACATGGAGACCAGTAGAGATACATAGAGATAAATACAGACACATGGAGACCAGTAGAGATACAGACACATAGAGACACGTAGAGACACATAGAGATACATAGAGACGAGTAGAGATACATAGAGACACATTGAGATACATAGAGATACATAGAGACACAGAGACCAGTAGAGATACATAGAGATACATACAGACACAGAGATGAGTAAAGATACATAGAGACACATAGAGATGAGTAAAGATACATAGAGATATATAGAGACACAGAGACCAGTAGAGATACATACAGACACATATAGACACATAGAGATACATATAGACCCATAGAGACACATACAGACACATAGACTAAAATAAACTTTGTATTTATTTATTGTGCCAAGTTTAAGGCCGCCACGACGGAGCTGCTACTGTGAAGCGACTTTATCAGATGAAGCGACTCCCCTGGCCTTCACTGCTGATAGCAGCTCCACCACGTGGTTTATCACCATCATCATCACCATCATTACGTGGTAATTCATACAAGCAGCCAAATATTCTAAACGCGTAGAGATACATAGAGACACATAGAGATACATAGAGACACATAGAGATACATAGAGACACATAGAGATACATACATACACATAGAGATACATAGAGACACATAGAGACACATAGAGATACATAGAGACCAATAGCGATACATAGAGACCCGTAGAGATACATAGAGATACATACATACACATAGAGACACATAGAGATACATAGAGATACATAGAGACACACAGAGACACATAGAGATACATATAGACGAGTAAAGATACAGAGATACATAGAGATACATAGAGACACACAGAGATACATAGAGACCCGTAGAGATACATAGAGATAGATAGAGACACACAGAGATACATAGAGACCCGTAGAGATACATAGAGATACATAGAGACACGTAGAGACCCATAGAAATACATAGAGATACATAGAGATACAGAGATACATACAGACACATGGAGACCAGTAGAGATACACAGAGACACGTAGAAATACATAGAGATACATAGAGACACATAGAGACCCGTAGAGATACATAGATATGCATAGAGACCCATAGAGACCCATAGAGATACATAGAGACATAGAGATACATAGAGACACATAGAGATACATCGAGATACATAGAGACACATACAGACACATAGATACCAGTAGAGATATATAGAGATACATAGAGACACATAGAGATACATAGAGATACATACAGATACATACATATACATACAGACACATAGAGATACATAGAGATACATGGAGACCAGTAGAGATACATAGAGATACATAGAGACCCG